AATACTCACGTCGGTAGAGAAATATAAAGTTTAACATTTTAGCTTTATAAGAAGATCTAGCACACAAACAAATGAAAGATGGGTATATAACATTCATATGAGACACTAGAGTTTTTACATGTAAAATGTTTAAGGGAAAACCATGGGGCCATGTCCACTTGAAATGATTCCAATAGTGTTTGAATAGATTACAAATGACTGGGTTATTCTATAAATTGAGGATGATCATATTACAACAATCAATCGTCAGGTTGAAATATAGTGACGAACGAAGATCAGCCAGATATTCGACGACGTTTGATGGTCGGATAATATTCGGTGCTAGTTGGCGGTCGAGGGGTAGTTTGGAGATAGCTGGTGGTCGAGCGGAAGTCCAGTGTCAATCATCGATCAAGCATATGTCTGACAATAATCGGTAGTCGAGGAGTATGGTGGCAAGATAATTATGGTTTCTCTTTATTCCTTCTCTCCCTTCTCCTCCTTGCTTCGGGTCCCCCTCACTGAAGAATGAGGGGCTTATTTATAATTTTTTTGGGAGTGACATAATCAATAAATAGAGAGAAGATCAAGGGCTTGTTGTGAGTGTTTTGAATGGATGGTAGATATCGACTCCCTTGATCATAGATTATTTATCAAGTGTTTAAGTGTCTTAATGATATTAAAATTTGGCGATCTTCGACTCGTTGGATTTGTTTCGTTGATTTGCTTGATTCAACTATAAGTACTTTACATTTAGAAATCATTTAGTCATCCAATTTATGGGTTGAACCTTCCAAATGCACTTCGGGTCTTTTATTTGGACCCATTCAGGCTCGTATTGGGTTGAATTTGGTGTTGTTGGGTTCGTCTTTTTGAGGCATTTTGGTTTGACTAAAAGTGTCACGACCCAACCCGACTGGGACGGATCCTGCTCCATCGGGCCGCGACGGAGCCAACAAATCCAGGATTTGGCTTTGAAATTTGCTTTAGAACTTTCTTCTAAATATAACACAGACAGAAAAACACAGAGCTACTATAAACATCCAAACGCAGCGCAGTTCATCTATCTTTTCTTTCATCAAAATAATCA